AAGCGGTACCCAGGAGTTTGTAGTTGGGCTAGTAGATACCAAGAAAGGAATACCAAGTTATTTATAGCTGGGCTAGTAGATAGTTTTTTAAGAATGGGGTACCTAGTTATTTATAATTATTCATGTTCAATCGTGTTTTATTTACTTTGCCGCCAAACGGTTATTTTATATGCCGTTAACTAAACACATGACATGGATAAACCCATATTAATCTAGTTCGTGGTTGTTGCTCTTTAATACCCACGATCTGATAGGCAGTTGGAAGACACTTTTTATTTAATAGTAAGCTGCATTAATGGCCATAATCCTTAGTGAATGATGAAGATGATGTTCCTAATGTTGGAAACATTGTAGAACACGGTGTCCCAAGGGGATACTTATTGAAACGTCGTGCTTGTGTATAATACACCAGTGATTGTTGTCCGATATAATTGTGTTAGTTTTGCAATAATGACATTTACAAACCATTGTGTTGAATTATTAGGAATGAACCATGATCTGTGAAGTATTATTATTTTTAACAATGGATAGCTGTTATGAAACAAGAGTGGGTTAATTTTGATGTTTTTATTATTCAAACATTGGAAAACTAATAAGAATAAGAGCTGAATTTGCAGTTAACCATGTCAACTTGACACTAGGATGGTAGCCAATTTAAAGTTTACAGCCGTTTTGATTGTGGTTTCCCTACATAAATTGATATAAAAAATAAAAATATAGATCTAAAAGTGACGGTGTCTGCCAACAAGGCAGCTGCGGATGCTGTCTTTTCACAGAACTTGTTCTTGTTTTTAGATTCACATTTTGATATTAAAAAAAAGTTTCTTAAGTCGAATTTTGTTGTATTGTTTTATCAAACTCTATATTTTGATATATAATAACATATCGTCTAATGTTAATTTTGAAAGGAATTTATCAGTCTGAGTACATTATTAACAAGTAAAAAGTGCGAGAAATTATCTGAAATCGTTACATAGGGCCATACATTTGAATTCAACTCAGCTGGGTTTGGTTCCAAGAAAAGCATTTCATGTCTGTTAAAGCTGCTCGGGGCAACGTGTTTGCAGCCATTATACGTCGTTCATCTGGCTGTGGAGACTGTAATGGGTTTTCATGCCTCAATCCATTCTTTCCTTTAAATGACCAACTATTAGTTCGGTAATCAATGGCCCGTCTCCATCCTCCGGGCGCTCTTTCCTTAAGTGCAACTCAAGAACTTTATAATTCATACGCCCTGCATGCTACTGACTACTCTCATCCATTTATACATCTAATTAGTAATGATTTCAAACTGTATTTCTTAATGAAATAAAATAGAAACCAAACATGTTTTAATAGCTAAAAAAGCATTTGAACTTCAAAAATATATCAAAGTATCAGGCAATAAATAACAAATGCATCAAAAGATACCCGAATTAAAATATATATTAGGGTATCAGAAAACTTTCAAATTTAAATACAGATTATATGGATATTTTATAGCGAAATTTCAGTAATTTTTTTATTTTTTTGTGACTAAGTATAGCAAAAACATTTTTACAGATCAAATCGCTTGAACATCTGAAATATCGACTTTGGAATTGTAAGACAGTCCTTTTTCACCACTGTCCACTATTTTGACACATTGTCCCTCTTCCACCGCACGTTATCGAGTCCCGCATTGTCCTTATCAGGCATACTAAAGTTAGAGATCATAACTATACACATTCATATATAATTGATGGTATGCCCTGATTAATGATGATTAAAGCAAAAAAAATTAAACCAAGTTAATATAAGATAGTATATGTTTCATTATACTGATTATATTCGTAATGATCCGTGTCATGAGGGTGAGGTGTCATATTTATTTGCAACAAGGAGATTAAGTTGCACAATATGCTATGTTAAATTTGATAATGATTACAATAATTGTAGAATTGTATATACGATTGGAAGTATTATATCACATCATTTTGTTATAATTGTGATGTATAAATTAATAGAGACTCTTATTATATACATTCCCGACCCCCCCCCCCCCAAAAAAAAAAGCAAAAAAAAGAAGCACATCTTAGAATTTTAAACTCGTTTTATGAAAATTGGTCGGTCGGGGCGGGGGGTCGGGGTACAGATAAGTTCAACATTCAGAAGTGGAAATTTAAGAAGCCTATTAATTACTTAGTCCATCCAGGACATGTTTAGTCTCGTATCACGGGTTAAAATTCACTTACCGGTCATGTTGTCATTATTTTCAATATCTTAGATTTACATAAATTCTTTGACATATGTGTGAGATGTATTATTTTACACAAGATGGTGACTACTGGCATTCATGTAAAAAAGGGTATTAATAATTAAACTGAATCTGAAGTAATGTCAAATAAAATATGTAATTTAATTAATAACAAAACATCAAGATAAAATGGGTAAACATATATTTACATTTTTAGTAGTATGTGACCTAAAACATAATAAAAATTCATTAAATGTAATATTTAAAATTTTCTGCAAATCCGATGTATATAGATACAGACGCATGCGGCATTTTCCTTTTCAGAAGTTGTGTGCCAAACTGAAGGCTAATGTGTTACGAACGCCTGGCGCCCATGATACAAACCCGTTACATGGTTGATTAGAAAATACACCTTTATCTTTTGACTCAAGAATCAAAATGGATAAATATAATGGGTATAGCCTTTAGACTAATAATGTATTATTCTAACGTGTCGAGTTTCATGTGTAGGGCGTGGCATGCTTACCCTTTTCTATAACCCATGTCACGCTTTCTGTTACTAGGGGTGGTGTTACTTTACAAATGTTGATATTCAAATTTGGGGCCCCCTTCAAAAGTTGCAGTTACCCTACCTATTTATGAACATATTTTTGTTATTACTTTCTGTATCCTCTAACCCCACTGTACCCCCCCCCCCCCTTCCCACCCCCTGAAGTTAAGGGGTTTAAAATGGGGTTGAAAATCCAGATTTCACCGAATATCTTCATTATTTCTCCCAGTATAAACCTCATCTTGACTATATTAGGGTTTTCGGGGTCGCTGAGTTCATTGGTGATGTTAAATTGGAGATTTGAAAATCCAAAATGGCGGAAATCCAAGATGGCGATATTATTTCATACACGTTGATGATATTTTCTCGGTGTTTAACGACATAACATTTACTGTTACATTTTCTTGTCTATAAAACATTCTATGTATACTTAACTGTATACTCACCTATATTTGTCTATATTCTCACATAAAGTAATACCGTAATGACCTCGCCAAAACCTAAAAAAAAAACGCTCTTAGGCGTGAAAAGAGTTAGGTCAGAAATTTGTATATAGAAACAGCTAACGTATATACCATCACTACCAAACATATCAAAAAGAATATACTAACTCTCTACACAAGATGCCAAAATCTCATCCAAACGCGACAGACAAGGAAAAATGAAAAATATAAAGAGAATGTTAAACTATCCAACACTAAATATTCTGAACTGTTTGATATCTATTGCGAAGATACAGAGATTAGAAAGCACCTAGAAAGTTTTCTTGGTGTGGAAATGGACTCTGTCGAATTTTATTTCTTAGAGAGAGAGAGAGAAATGGGGTTTAACGTCCACTCGACACAAACTAGGTCATTTCGGGACTAACATATCGTTTAATTTTATTTACATAATTCGCTTGCGCGTAGGGGTCTTTAGCAGTGGGAGGAAACCGGATTATTTCTTGGAAGATCAACAAGGTGAGAGGAAAATAGTATGGGAAGAAACTTGATTGATACACAGTGGAGGAAAACTATGGAGACATTGGGGCATTAGAGAAGCGTACTAGCGAGCAGAAGAAGAAGTAACTCATCTAATGCCCCAGTGTCTCCATAGTTTTACTGTTGAGCGGTTTTACCGAATTCCTTTACCAGAATTTATAATTTTGACTAATAATTAAGATCGATTGTATTTGACCTTTTATTATCTTGTGAAATATGGTTGTCAATCGTAATGCGTTAATTATATTGATCTAGTATAGATATAGAATTAATGACTAGGATATAATATGCTATAATCAGATTAACGACGGTGACTTCTAGTAAGTAAACAATCATTAAAATATTAACCGGGTATATTAAACCGAATCCTGCTGTTATTATTATTGTCCTTTTAATTACATGGAAGCTTTATTTAAGGCACCATTTTGTGTCTCAAAGGAACGGTTAATATCTATGATAAACTGATCTAATTAAAATAAGACTGTTTCGGAAATGAAATTTATATGGCTTAAATAGCTGAATAAATGCACAAATATTATTTAAACTGTCTATCAAAGTCAGCAAAATATGTAAATATTGTGAACATTATAAAACCTAATCAACCTCAAGCGGAAATCAATTAAATATCTAACACTGTTCTGCGGAATAATAATTGACCCTATATGCTATATTTTGCGAGTAGATTTCGATTTCTTAAATCAAACGAATTATCGCTTCACATGTTGTTGACAGATTACACTTATTCTTTCCTGTATATTTGTTCGGTGGAGATTGGATCGTTTCAGGTCTTGGGTTAAACATGTGTTGATTTGACTTGTCGTTGAGTTAGTGTTGAGTTATTTTATCTAACTTTACAATCACACAGAGACCTTTTTACACTTATTTCAAATTGAGATATTAACAATTCGCTTTAACTAGGCGTTAACTCTACTCACACATGCGCCTTGCGTCAAACACACACGCTGAATTACAATTTTGAACATCTAACTCACCAATACATCTGTTCCCTTCTGTTCTTTAACACCAATTTAAAGTCCCGATGCGCCATTTTAAGCAATATGAATCACTTTACAACTACGAATATGAATACACATAGTTCGGTTCCGTTCCGTATTTACAACGATATGTGGAATTGAAAATTTCATTGATCTACCCTACTCAAGCGTAATTTCGACAGTCATAAATCAAATGGAGAAGTTATAATGTACGAATCCCCCTAGTCATGGTCACTATACATGTATTTATTTATTTCCAGGACCTCCTTCCCAAACTACCGGTTCCTAATCTCCACTCCACTCTAGAGAAATACCTATCATTAATGAAGACAGTTTTGACGTCGCAGCAATACTCTCGAACCAAATATTTGGTTGCTGAATTCGGTAAATCTGGCGGCGTAGGTGAAAAGGCACAAGAATATGTGATAAAACAGTTTGACCTTAAAGATAATTGGGTAAGTTTCTGAGCACAGATGATGTTATGCTCCATATCTATGCACTCGTTTTTAGTTGTTTTGAAGGCTGGTACGACAGTGAACGTGCGGTGGTACAAGTTGCTTTTTGCTTTTATATTTTTTTAGGTTTTGAGGACGGAGGGGTCTATGTTATTTTTGACGAAATTGGATATTAATTTTCAATATAAAGTTTATGAATTAAACAGTTAAGCTTTAGGTGGTTTTGTGCCCGCGGCAGTGTGTACCTTATCTGATACAATTGTTAATTTATTGTATTATAGGCAACTAACTTTTTTTATATGTACATTTTTAGAGAAGACTCAATCAACGGTTACAAATTTCATTTTAAGTGAATGGGAAATGACATGGTCTTAAGAGATTGATTTCTTGATTTTTCTAAGCAATAAAAATATCAATTCTTAAATCTGCATTTGATGAAATGTGTGACACTTTAGGTGCGTTCACACTACGGGTTTAATCTGAACTGAATTCAGAATAAAGTCTTATTCCGGATGTAGTAGTCACACTCAATTCGCTAAAAACCAAACTGATCGAATCTGAAATAACGAGTCTGCTTATTTTTCCGAATTCAATCTGGAACAACTATTACGAATCGAGTTTTTCGCTGTCAAGATTTGGATGCTTTGCGCTTGATTCAGATCAACGGCTTTACCGAAACCGAATAACTTTGCGCGCTTTTTCCCTTCTACTTCCGTTTTATCGCTTGGAGGGAAACATGTGTATGCAACTGCTAATGTTGATATAGCAAACAACCTAGGTACGGTTTGGGATAAGGCGGAGAGCCTTTTCCTTCCTCAACGTTGGGGAGACGGAGATGTAGAGGTGGAGGGCACGCACCGCAACCAGGCAATTTACAGATGGCTGGCCGAACTTCTGGCAGTCCGGGGATATGAGAGGGTGGCCGATCAGTGCCAATCGCTTTATCCCGAAAGTTCGCCATGATAAATTTGGAGCCAATAAATCCGAATATCATTTTTCACGAAAAAACGACGGGGATTACGGTCCGAGCAAACATTCTGCAAATAAATAAATATAAATATTTCAAACACAAATCAGTTGGGGTATAGTTAACATACCCGTAGCCCTTCTTCACTGAAACATACTGCGGTAAAATCAGCAGTTAAAAATCCAAATACAAAGATATGGTGTGTTCAGACTGATCATTTAAGGTCTAGACCTTAGGGACAGGGCAGGCTAGCTCTAGCATGTATTGTATATAGCAGGATGAAAATGATATAAAATTAATTGTTTTGCATTATGCATGGTTAGTGCTGAAAGGAGTTTAATTGTGAAATGTATCTTCGCTAGTCGAGAGTATTGTACATGTACATACTTGTTGATACATAGTAAATGCGACCAGAAGAGTAATCATCCTCATTTGCCTTTGATCCTGGTGCCGAAGAATTCGTGTCCAGAGCTCAAAGGCAAGATACTGAAGGTGCAAGACCCGGCATCGCTCATGTAGCCTTGCTCACTAAAAGAAATTAAACATTAGCAACAGAAATAATGATAAATAATCAGCAGGATCACCATGACCCCAGGTAGCTATACAAATTCAGTGGGATACGGTTCAATTTGAATTCAATCCGAATAATGTTGTAGTGTGAACGCCGGAATTCGGGTTGAATTCGCATACAGTGTGAACGCATCTTTACTTTACACTACTTTGTTCATTTTTGGATTTGTTAATTCGGAATGCCCTTAAAACATATGGTCATTACGATTGCATTTTTTTTTAAAACAGTTACTATTTCGTGATTTTGTCTTAGTTGTCCATTAGATTTGAATACCAATTCGGTGTGATTCAAAACTTTTTCCAATATGGTTGGGCTGCAAATTCTGTGCCTGTAAATATTTAGCAGGCGATGGAATATCTTCTCATTACAGTTACAGGAGAATCATTAAAGTTTTTCAGTTGAGCATGAAAGACCGGGATATATTTACATTAGTGTAATTTACTGGTGTATATTTGCTCAGAGTGTTTCTTTAGTAAATAAACTTTCTTTAAGATCAATTCTTCTGGTTTTCATTGAATCCTCATTCAATATTCTCGATTTTCGATGTCAGTTTAGTCGAGCTGGAAACTTAAAGAGCTGTTCCAGTTCAACTACTATGAAATGTATCATATCCTGTTATAAAATTTAACATATAACATGGCACAAATTATTTGCAATGCCTAAGACAGCAATCGCAACCTGGAAAGGGGGTAACATAAATAAAGAATGCCTATCTCCACTAATGGACCTGCATACTCACGTTGTCAATTTGAGTAGTTCAAAAATAGTTAGCTTTGAATTGTAACATACACAAAGTTTAAAATACAACTAATACAACATCCGCTATGACACTGGCCTTGTTTTAGAGTGAACGATGATTAGAAATAAAAGGGGGTAATTTATATCCTTAGCAAATAATACGTGTATGAGAACCGCACTACACGCAAAACAAAACCAACAAGACCAACCTGCGGACAAGTCAAACTACATACACTGCCAATCAGTCGACCAGAAGACAGAATATGCTTACGTAATTTTGATATTTTAATTTTGCTTTATTTCAGAGTTATGACTGGTGGTTAGAAGATATGTACATGAAGATCAGATTAGGATTACCGATTAACTCTAATCCAGGGGGTTTATTCCCAACACAAACTTTTAAAAACCAGACACAACATTTACAGTAAGAATATCTTGGTTATTAAGGGGTGTTCGTCATATGATTTATCAAAACGATATTGGAGTTTTTGATTGAAGTGAAACTGATCAATGTAATATTCATTTTCCAGATGATATTGCTGTATAGCCATGCATTTCTTGTATTTAAGGCGGTCATAATAATGATATTGATCTGCACAGAAAATGTTTTTGTTGGTCGGAAATATCGGTTCTAAATTAGATATATTTTCACAAAAAAGTATATAAAATTGACGGTTCTGTTTCAGGTATGCTGCCAAATTATTATGTGGAATTTTAGATTTTAAAGCGAAAGTAGACAAGTAAGTATTACAAAGAATTTATACGCGATTATAAAGGATAAACAAATTCCCAGCCAATTAAATAACGATAGGAAATGAACTGAAATGGAGTTTAACGTTGTCCTACATTTCTGCCCCAATCCGGCTGATGATAAATTACCTACCAAATATAATTAATGTTGTAGGGAGTCCTAAGGTGATAAGCGCAATCAGATCGATTATATGTAATAAATATATCCGAATTGAGAACGACCAGTATAAAGCTGCGTTCACACTAGGGGTTCAATCTGAATTGAATTCAGAATAAACTATTATTCCGGACTTTGGGGATACACCCAATTCGATAAAAACCGACCTGAATCTGAATTAACGAATCCGTATATTTTTCCGAATTCAACCCTGAACAATTATTCCGAATCGGGTTATTCGCAGTCAAGATTTGAGTGTGACACGCTTGACTCAGATCAACAGTTTTACCGGAAACGATAACTTTGCTCGCATGTTGGGATGTAGCCTACATAGCCGCAGCCATTCGTCACTGAAACAAATGCTGCGCTAGTACAGAGTCAAGAGTGAAGTACACGTACATACGTGTTGATGTATAGCAAACGCTATCAAGAGAGTAATCATCCTCATTCGCATTTGATTTTGGTGCAAACGAAATCGTGTCCGGCGCTGCATGGCAAGGTGTCGAAGATGTAAGACCCAGCGTCGCGGATGTAGCCTTGCTTGCCTCAGGAAATTAAACATAAGTAACATACGATCACCAATACGAATGTCTGGCGCATCCATTTTGCATATGTATGACCTTCGCTGCGCATTCAGTGTGGCGCTTTTCATTCTGAATTCAATCCGAATAAACTGTAATGTGACGCACCGCTTTTAAAGCGGGAAAAACCAATCCGAATTCCGGAGACCGGTCTCTGGAATTCGCATTGAATGTGCATGCAGTGTGAACGCAGCTTTAGTTGGACATTTCAGTGATCGGTTGTAGTGGGTTCAAGGCATTTTTATATTAAAGATTTATTACGGATTCAGTACCCCAGTGACCTTGAAAGAAGGATCGAAGCGGTTAAGTAAACATGAAATCATTAGTTTGTAGAATTAGTCATAATGTCTTTGATTTCCTCAATTTGCTTCTTGTCAATACAATAGTGGTTCAATGAAGCGTCCAAAATAAATAGACGTTTGCACTGTTATCCTTAATTTTTCGACTTGCTCCGTTCATGTAATTTTGCATTCTGGCTAACAAATCTGACCAGTCTAGTTTCTTTTTAAATTTGAACTGATGTATTTTTGATGATGTGCATGAATTTAAGAATTTGAAAAAAAAAAAGATGTTCGAAATGTCTGCGCATTTCCGGGCATAGTTTAATTTCAGTGTGACATAACGGTGCAAAGCCATTCAAGAACAGCAACTGGAAGCGGGTTATGAGGTGCTCTATGAATTTAAGTTGATGCATACAACGCTTTTTTTAATTGTTTATCAATGTTAACATTTCAGAGAGAGAGAGAGAGAGAGAGAGACAGAGGGAGAGGGGGAGACAGAGAGAGTATTGACTAATGATGTATATATACTATTATAACTTTTATTTCAGTGGGTTATTAATACCAGAACGTGCTAGTCACAGTAATAAGGGTCAGTTACTGTGTATGGATCAGTGGTATAGGTTTTTATCATCATTTCGTGAACCAGGAGTAGGCCAAGATATCCAGAGACAAGATGTCTGTCCACGGGCCGATGGCAATAATGTAATAGTTGCTTGTAGAAATAGGGTAATATGCTTTAATCCCACCCCTCCATTCATTTTCTTTTGTTTCAAATACATGTAACAATAATGGTGACATGCGTACATTTGATATGTCCGTGTTGTTATCCCTCTTCGTTTTACCCCATGTGGTTAGAGTTGTCTTTAAGGCGAGACGGATCACAGTTTGATTGCGCCATTGTAAAGACGAAATAATATCAGACCTCGTAAAATTAATGGGGAATAGATGTATCGGGATAATTTGATTAAAGGGACATCAAGATGAAAACAAGACTGAGTATTACTTGAAAACCATATCCAGGTTGATATTCTAAATAAAAACTGTGTCCTAAACTTAACATTGGGCTAAACTGTTTGACATTCAGAATTTTCAAGATCTCTAATCACGCATTAGTGTAAATTATTTTATCCTACGCCTTTATAATCACGAGGCTGGATTTGAAATATTTTGTGCCTATATCCGCTTACATGGAAGTCAATAGATCAACTAACCCACATTTTATGTAATAATCTGCTTAATTATATTGTAAATAATATATTCTAAAGCCTAGACTTTATGTTATAATCCTTTTTATTACACTATAAATAATACTTTATAGACCTTAATTGTCTACACTCTATATAATGAGCACATCGAACTTTCGGTCTGTGCCCTTTTTAATCGTAGATTTCCAAAAAGATGTCTCATTACATTTACTTTTTTTCCAGTATTTTAAGTTAAATTGTGGTCCCATAGGAACAGTTCCCTCCATAAAACAAATATTTGAATGTTTAAATGAAATAGTCGATACAGTATTAGATGAACCATGTGAAGCACCACCTATCGGTATATTGTCATCAGCAGATAGAGATCAGTGGGCTAAAGCCAGATTGAGACTTTTAGAAGGTGAGAGAGAGATGGAGAAATGGGGTTTAACTTCCTCTCGACACAAACTAAGTCATTTCGGGACTAACATATGGTTCAATTATATTTCAATAATTCGCTTGCGCGTAGGGGTCTTTAGAAGTGGGAGGAAACCAGAGGACCCAGAGAAAACCAACGGGGTTGGACAAGTGACTCTACTCCTTGTCACGTACAACCGGGCAAATCGAAACCCCGCCAGTTGACTCAATGGCAGACTTTATGATACAACGCGCACGTGCTAACCATTCGGCCCCCACCCCGCTTTTAGAAGGTGAATATAAGAAGTGTTCTGTACAATAACTAGACTAAGAGTATCAAAAATACAAAGTTATGTATTGTTTAAATATGCCAACTTACAATGTGTTATTACAGTTGATAGTAATACGGAAATATAGCTATTTTTTAAAGTCATTTGGCGAATCCCTTGCAAATTACAATATTGTGAATGCTGGATCTCAATAGGGCGTATCAGCACCAAAATGGTTCAATGCTATTTAGTAATTACAAAGATATAACGAACTGAACATTTGCCAACATTCGGCACCCGCTGCAGACAACATAAACGGGATATGATAAAAAAAAAAAAGCTCCACCCGTAATCTTCGCTATAACTTAAGTGGTCTGGGCCTCATTTAAATCTATTGTGAGCATTATCTACCGTTGATCTTTTGATTACGTCTTCTTAATGTTAAATAATCATTTTAATCAATATGAATACATGTTAGCATGGATTAAATCTGATATTTTCCGTAAAATACAAATAACTATCATAGATGTTATGTTTTTTTATGATCTGATAGTTAGCATGAATTAAGTCTAATATTTTCCGAAAATACAAATTCATAGATTGTAGGTTTTTGGTTACGTATATTGTCGATTACTAAAAACCTACGGAAATAGGGGAAATTGTCTGAATGTATCTATGGGAATTTGGGGGGGGGGGGCATCGGCAAAACAAAGTCATACGTCAGATCTAATCATATCTGTACAGGTATTCGAATGTATTACTCATCGGTTTCTGAAATATAAATAAAATATCATAACTATAATTACTAGTGTATATCTTTCACTAGGTTGAGTATGCTTGCCTATCTGTTATTGGAAACTTCATGTAACGGATCATTCCGTATGTGCTTTTGCATTTATTGTAGACCCGGTTAACCAAGCCAGTATTAAAGATATTGAAACAAGCTGTATGTTATTGTGCCTGGATAAACAAACGTTACCTTCTGAAAATTCGTTTGATGACGATATTGGTGACGTAGCATGCCTAGAACACGTGTTACACGGACAGGGATCAAAACGGAACAGTGGAAACAGATGGTTCGATGTCACATTTCAGGTAGACCAAACCTAGCTCGATTTCTAGAAATAGATCTTAGTCGACTTTGCCCAGTTGATTTTCAGGTTTTAGATACATTTATTTGTGATGTATATATTTGCATACAGATAAGCCCTGTTTGCGACGTAAATTCATTAAAAACATGTTTTCCCATTTTTAAAAATCAGTATTATATCTTTATTTCACTGAGCATTGTAGCAAAATGCAGAGTTTAAATATATTTCTTTGAATAATTGTTTATAATAATTTGTAGTTAATCGTAGCAGAAAATGGAACAAATGGCTTTAATTATCAGCATTCTATCTGTGAAGGCATGGCTGTCGTTGATTTCTGTGAACACGCTCTAGTGTATGAGTAAGTATAAAGATGGTGTATTGTTAGCTTTGCATATGTTAAAGGCTCAATACCACTCTTGTTGTAACTGAATAATATGTCCCAATCTTTATTCTGGTCAACAAATTGTACTATTTTAGAATATTTCAATTAATTGATGATACAAATTTCATCTTAACACACCTTATTTAAAAATTTTGAAAAATTCAACATAATGGTTTGAAACGTCTAACGTAAACCTTTTCAAATGAAACTTCGATTTAAAAATATTTTCGAACCCTCTGGACAAGTAAAATAGGATGTAATGGATAATTTACACAACAGGTAGGACACTTAAACATCTAGTACTTAGAATAAGGCTATTTTTTTATTTTCTGGAGCTTTCAAGCCAGCAAGAGTGTTATTGTCCCTTTAAGGTAGATCTTAAATAATACCATACTGTTTAAAATGTCGTTCATGTGAAATGCGGTAACGGATATTCCCTGTGGGACGTTTTATCGGCAATAATTCTAGCGAGCGAAAGAACTGCGGGTACATACCGAAGTTACAAGTAGTCGCTCTTACTGCTACCGTTGTCATTGTGTTGTTTAGTGTATATTTTCGACCTGAATTATCTGATAGAAGTATGTTGTTGATTCAATTGAACCCTACCTTCTAGTAGACCACCAGGGATATCATCATAAAGATCTGCTTAGGGTCATAGGAGTTGGTAATTCTTTGTACTTTCGCCATCATGAAACCCATTTACTATATTTGGTAACGGGATTATTTAAGACAATTCCATATAACTTTACTGATAGAATAGATACGTATAAGTACGAAAAGTCGTATTTTGTTTTAAGTTGCTTTATTGTCCGAACTAATGGTGAGCCAATCTATTTTAGCCAAACAGGTTATCCAATATCCATGTGCCCAAGTTAGAAAGTTATTACTCTAATAATTATTGGATCTCACTTGATCTCTGGGGTAGATATAGATGAAATATTCTTTTTACATAATCGACATCTTTACTAAGATATAAACCAAACCTCGGTTCGTTTGTTTCTTCGTCTACTCCAAGAGATCTGACGCCATCTTTATTTACAGAGAACGTGTAGACAACGTGACGTCATTGAATAAGCAGAAATTGGCCAAACCTAAACAGTTAGAGTGGAATGTGTCGACGGTAACCCTTGACGATATTCAAGTAGCCACGCAACAAATGGATGGGTAAATATTGATTGGTCAAATATGCCATATATCAAGTTTAATTCCGCAGAATTTAAAACTGGCACATACCATTGGATAATAAATGATGGGCACATGTTTGATTCTCACGGTTAATACTTGTGTGTGTATTTGTCGATGTAATAAAGATTATTTTATTGAATAACGAAACATCTGAGCAGATCTCACCATCTTTAATTGGATTCCACGTGTCACGAGGGGAAAGTACCTCATTAAAGAAAAACAGATCATTTTTCATACAAATCAAAGAAAGGTTTCGATTTTTAGCATTCATTGCTCCTTAGCGACTGCTCTGTAGGTCGTTCATTGTTGCTACAGCCCATTTCTCCGCAATAAAGATCTTTTAAATTCTAGTTTGAATCATAAACTTCGACATATTTGTATTAACAAATAACGTCGGTCACGAAAACTGGCGAAGGAAATGGTCAACGTCCTACTTGAATACATTATAATGAAACCACAAAAGGTTCGTCCTAAAGGAACATGCCTTTCAATGTACGAATAGTATCACAACGTATTCTTATAAGCAAATGTGGTATACCGGAATGACATAAGAGAATAGTTAGTTTTAAATGTTACTAACAACATTTTCTTGTCTAGTTTACACCAATCAAAAATTCTGCTGATAACTTTGAAAGAGGTAATATTATTTTTCTGGAAGAGTTAATATTTTGCTGAAAGAGGTAATATTTTGCTGAAAGAGGTAATCTTTTGCCCAAAGAGATAACATTTTGCCCAATATGTTGCCGAAAGGGGTTATACTTTAGCGACAGGGGTAATATTTTTGTCAATAGGGGTATTATTTTGCTTAATGAGGTAATATTGTTGCTAAAAGCGATGAGAGGGGTCTCTTATGCTGAATGAGTTAATATTTTGCTGAAAGAGATAATATTATGCTGAAAGAGGTAATATTTTGCTGAAAGGGATAGTATTTTGCGTAAAAGATGTAATTTTTATTGTTATTATCATGGTTATATGATAGTTATAAATCAATTGTAAAATGTCACCAAATTCGATAATGTCCCTCTAATTTTGTTGTGTTTTTTATAGTTCTATTTGCAAGATTTAAATTATTCAGTATTTAGTCCCAGTTTAATCACCGCTTGAACACGAATATAAACGCCCACCGTCTGGAACAATTCAGATTAAATCTATTTAAAAGACCCCCCCCCCCACCACCACCACCTGGCAGTTGTGGTATTTGTTTTAATATGTAGTTCTAAGCTGAATTCACATCTACCGACACGACGTAAGATTGTTTACATCACTTAACTAGGCCTAATGTGCTGTATCTTTTACTGAACTAACATAATAATCTATTATCCCTTGGCTAAATCATGTACAATATTTGTATTGCATCAGAAGATAAATCAGATTAGAAAAATATGCAACGGCTTGTTACATCTTTAATATCCGCCTACTACACACTATAAGAATGATACAAAAGTTCTTATTTTCAAATTTAATCGTAACAAAATAAGAGTGAAGTTTTGTGCACGGGGAATGTGGTGCTGTTTCTATATCTGAGTATACATGTATATAATTATATTAAGTCTACATCCGAAAGGATGTGGTTTTCGTTACTACGTCCGTGTCAGATTTGGATGCGACCTCAAAAATAAAACTTGCATTTTACGATTGATATTTCAGTCTAATAAATATTCCTTATGTTAAAAGATTTAAGCAGATATAGATCGATTACATGTATTGAAATGTTAAATTAAGTTAGTTTCTGAAATTGTAGAGCTTACAATGTTTAGAGTTACCTAACTTCAATGTGAATTAATCTGGAAATTTAGGCAGCAGATTTCTTTCGTAAAATTTCAGCCAAACCCCTAAAATTTCACTCTTCAATCATCTAAAGATAGATCTTTTAAATAGTGTATGTCTAAAACTCTGTGATGGTCTATATTTATAAATAAATCAGCCAAAGGTTTATAGCCAAATATGCGTTACAGTCGTCTGGGTTTCGAAAAATTCACATAAACTGGTATTTTATGAAATGAGTGTATTCTGTGCAATTATTTATAAGGAATATTCTACTTTGCCAGCACGCAAACCCATAGCATAAAACTACTTGTTCGTTTGAATTAGACTCATTTTGTCATAAATTGGCAACGACTCATGGATTCAAAGGGATATCTGATTTTTGTGGTCAAATAATGCACCCATAAAATGGTTTATACATGTAAAATCCGGCAATATATCGATTGATATCGACTGTATCTGGCCAACAGCCAAATGAATTGACCTCAAGTCAAGAATCTTATTTAAGAGCTTAACTGGTGTTGTTATTTAATATTGAGTCTAGGGGAAAATGGCGACGAAGGAAATTAGGTGTTGAGACTGAATTTGGTTGCTTCAACTAAATGATATTAACATCTTAAAGCGTCATGCGCTGAGATAACTAGGACGAGTACTTGCCCTGCCAATACCGCGTTTACTCCTTGTATGGAAGCCAATACACAGCATGCCTTCAAATGAATCTATGAGAGAGAGAGAGAGAGAGAGAGAGAGAGATCCACTCATACCAACACTAATCTGTTCGTTTCCGGGCTAACCTGTGGTTTACTTTTATTTCAATAGAGATTAGACAGTTGTTTTCATAATCGTTATCACTTTAAAGCTTTCAATTCGTGACTAACGAATGTGGTAGATTAATAGTCCGTATTTAGTTAATATCATAACTGTTTTATTTAATTATACTTAGTTATATTTGTTATAATTGTGGAAACATAACTAGGTTCTCGATATTTTAAAATAAGTTTTACTTCTTAAATATATTGTTTTTATTAGGGGGGGGGGGGGGCTCAAATCTAAATGTCGATATTTCACTTCGCTACTACCTGCTCGGTAACTGAATTCTATGCAAGTAAACTTCATAATTGCATGATGGATAGTTTTACAAAACTATTGAAACTTGGCGCATTTTTTACAAATGTCGCCGAATTCGAACAACTACCCGTAGATTATAACAGATGAACTCCTAATATCACCCGAGCTGGATGCGGACGTTAAGCCGGACATCATTTCAAGTCAAGATATTTTTATGTTCCTCATTCAATAGGGTAAGATATAAACTAAAGACGTCCTCTCCATTAAATATATAAAATAGAAAGAAGAAAAGCATTATTCACAAACTATATGGTCTGTAATAGATCTTGTTGAAGAGGAGAACAGCTCGGTGTGTAAAATGTTCTCATTGTAGCACCATACTTTCTATCGATGGTCAAAAATCAATAGGCAGAGTTAAAAAGTCGACTGACAAACACCAAACATCGTTCATTCATGTCCAAATTTCATGGGCTAATATTTGCAAACCAAATAGTTCCACTCAATCCAGCAAGTTGATTTAATTAGGCTAACATTTTAACAGTCTTGGTGAATTGTTGATCTTAGACTTTACGCCTGTAGTCATCATGGTTCCAAGCCTTTAACCATTTCAGTAATTTCAATTGAACCTTTGGACGGATCATGGACTTATATAAGGGAATATGCTTATTTTTTGTAATTGCATTTGAATCGTTCCAGGGAGGCTCCGTCTCAATTATCACTAACATTTGAAAATTTTATATAAAATATAATTTAAACAAACAAACAAACAAATGAAACCAAACATGAAAACAAAAATAAAAGTTAAACCAATAAATAAATAATTAATTAATTTGTCTGGTTTGTTTGATTCATTGTATATTGTCAAAGAAAGGAAAAGGTCTTGATTATTTTTTGCGGCTGCATTACATCAAAATATTTGCATTAAATGAAAACGTTTCAGACGCTAGATTTATGAAATAATTAACAAATAAGCGTAGGTTGTTAAAAAAATAATTACACCCGAGAAGCAAATGCAAAGATATAATTTTTGTTATATTTTGTGGACGTTTACGGTATAATAATTATACATTTTTACGCAACGTTATCCTTTAAATGATCACCATGGAAACAAGTGCTTGGCTGTCAAAAACCATATTGATTGGCTAATTTCAAAAAATATCCTTCAAGTGGAAATAAAATTTGTTTTTATGGTTGGGTAATTTTCATCTTGAATCAAAAACACTTCAGATTCTGTAAAATGGCTGTTTTTCTTGGAAGTTTATCTGGTAGAGAAAATTCATCGGTTAAGCGTTTAATAAAATTGGCCATTTGTCAAATAAATGAGCAGATTGCACAATCACGTTATATCCATTTTATTTTTAAAAAATAAAATTGGAAAGATAAAAACAACGAAAAGAGAAAGAAAATATCTTCACCATGAAATGGAAAAATGTTTTAGAATTCACAATAAAAAGATATCCGTTTAAAATTGTTCAAGCAGATATTGTAATATAACGATAAGTGCAACATGATCGCAATACCTACGCAGTCAATAAATGCAAGTATACACGATCAGTATAACATCAACGAGTAAACCGTTTCGATTAAGGTCAAATAAAGTGCTAAATTGAGTTGAGTTATTACGATTTTGTTTCGTTTACTTTGGTTTCGTAGTATTAATTTTAGTTTCTGATTAGTATAACATCAACATGTGGTACGTCACCGAGTAAGCCGAGTTTATCTGATGTGATATTTCGATTATTGGTTAGAAAAGTGCTATCCGTTTAAATTTTCATTTTGTTTGCTGTCGTTTCGTTCATTAGATTTAGGTGTTTATTTTTGATATACCGTATCGACTGTTGGCCGCCAATATCACTGACAAATTAAATTCTAAAGCGATTTTATTTAATTATAAGGACAAAGAATAAAGTTGTTTGAAGTATATATCTGGGCCCTTATTCACGAAAACTTAAACTAAGATAAAATCGAAATTTTAAGAAATACTGCAATTCGATTGGCTGACCCGTAAAATCAATTTGCATATATCCAATGCAGTTGCAGTATTTCTTAAAATTTCGATTTTATCTTAGTTTAAGTTTTCGTGAATAAGGGCCCCGGATAAAAAGCATTTCCTATTTAGTGTAAATTGATACATAAAATAGCACGCG